GAAACATACAATGAAACAAAAATGCTCCTTTTAAGTTCAGGCCTAAGGACAGGTTTATGGAATAGAGACTTTAACTTATAAATGTTCAGGTTTTAAGCGAATGTGATGTATATGTAACAGGGGCTGATGGCCTTCAGGCACATATTTATCTGTTGGTCCACAGGTCAGGGGGCTGGAATGAGTGGGCCGATGTTCATTATGTGGCATTGATCACGTAGCAAGCAAACAGCATGTCATGTACTTTACCCCTTTAGCACTTGTACCACTAGGTCTGGAATCACAGGCACTAATTGTAGGTCAAAGAGGACAGAGATTAATCTCTTCCCCACTTTGGCTGGGATGTAGGTTAGTCCTTACACATAGTGGTTGAGATGCCATCAGTCTGTGCTGTATTGAATTGAGCTAACTGGATAGAGCCCATGCTAGGGACTATCAGTCTAAGAATATATAGGAAAGAAAAACAACTGCTTATGCTGTAAGCAACATTTCCAGTGGACTAGGGAAACGACTTCAGTCTTTAGCCTTTGTGGGTAATACAGAAGTGACATCTCAGTTCAAATTTAGTTATTGAGTGTTTTCTTTGTCTGAATTAATTAGTTCTCATTTAAGAAAAAGTCATTTATAAATGAAAACATCTGACTAGCTGACCTCTTTACTTTAGATATCATAATCAGAGACACCAACTAAGTATCTCATAGCTTTAAAAATTTCACATAAATCTGGTTGAGAAAAAGTGATTGGAGTTTTATCTCAACAGTGTGTATTTCATCCAGCTTATACTATATATTAATATAGTAAGTTGAGATGCCCTAAAGAACTAAAGGTGAAAGGCACAAACTTAAAACAATTAGAAGACAGAGGAGAATATTTTTATTACCACAGGCTGAGAAAGAATTTCTGAAGAATGACTCCAAAATAAATATTGACCATAAGTGAAAACCTGACAGTTTTGACCACATCAAAATATAATGTCATAAGCCATCACAGACAGGTTGGAATAATAAAATACTGCCTACGAAAGATCCTCAACACATACAGTAGTCAAGGGATTAATATCCAGAGGAAATGTACCACTCTAATAAAGGAATTTTAAAAAGAAAAACTAGCCTGTAGGAAACTAGGCTTCAGCATATGATCAGGTGAGTCACAAAGAAGATGGCTAGGAAACATATGACCTGCTCTCTTATTAATAGTTATGGAAATGCAGAAATGTAAGTGAAGGTAGTGATGTTACTGTTCAGTTCATAAGACTGTCAAAATCTTAAAAGTCTAATCAACTGTAAGTGAGAATGTAAGGACAGAGGGCTTCTCAACCATGGCATCTGGGAGGGGAAATTGGTGTAGCTTGTCTATACGGCTACAGATGAAAGGTCCAGACAGTAAATTTTTTAGGCTTGAGGGCCAAGGGACAGTATGTAGGATATCATGTAGGTACTTCCAAAATCATTTAAAAATGCATGAACCATTCTTAGCTCACAGCTATATAAATAAAGTCTGCGGACCAGCTTTAATACGTGGGCTTGCAGACCCATGCTACAGAACTACTTGGGTAGTGACTGAGATCCCAGATTCTACTTTCTGGCATCTATTCTAACGAAACTCTCACACCAGTGGACACAACGTACAAACACATTAGTTGTAACATTATAAGAGTAAAATACCAGAGAGCAACCTAAATATCCTCCAGGAAGGGAAATGATAAATATATTTGGCATATCAGTTATAGTTCTTTTTTCATGACTATATATACTAATCACCAAATGAGCTTTATTTGTACTAAGATAAAAAGATTTCAAGAAGAATATTTGGTGAAAAATTTAACAGAGAATGCATGCAGAGTTTCATTCCATTTACTCTGATGATTGCTGCTACTAATGGATTGTAAGGAGGGAAACACATGGTCAGATAACTCGGCCTCAGTGTGATATGGTCCTAATAGTGACAGAAGCATGACATCAGGCATCTGCCACAGGGACAGCCATAAGTGCGCTGCAGTGCTTCTCAAAGAAAAAAATTCATAGTAATCTTAAAAGTGAATGGTATTAAATGTTCATAAATGATGACCTTAAATTAAAAACACTATATATTTTTAATGGATACATTTATGCATGGGTAAGTATTGCATTTCATTGATTTTAAGATGCACATTTATTTTCACATTTTAACAACTCTGAAATTGGGGTGCACCTTACATCTATGTGTATAGTTTAATTGTTGGAGTTTTTTGGTTAATGTTTCACGAAATAAGAGTTTTCTTATAGTTGGGGATGTGTTACATTTAGTGAAATGTGATCTAAAACTGGAAGGCGGATTCATAAATTATCATAGTCATTGTCTGGGAGAAGGGGTGTGGAAAAGAAGGGAGGAGGAAGCTAGAGAGAGGCTTGGAGCAGGGAGGGGCATAGTGATACTTTACACTGATCAATAATACTTCAATCAGTTAAAAACATCTGAACTAACATAATAAAATGTTAGCATTTATCAATATATAACTCTAAATGCATATACCATCTTATTTAAACTTAAAGGAACACAATATTGGTGGTAACTATGTTCATCCTCTTGTTCAATGGCTAAAGCATCCTCAAAACTACCAGTTCAGATCACAGGTACGTGGTAGCCTTGGAAAGTAGCAATGTTGGACATTGTCATCCTTGCTTTTGGATACAGCAATCAGGGAAACTGTCTGATTCTTCCAAAGTGACACATCTAACGGACCAGCAGAGCTAGGACCTGAACCTAGATCTTGAACTCCAAGCCCGTATTCTCGGACTCACCATATTTACCAAACTGCCCTGTTGACTATTCAATTCTCAGTTGCTTTACAGATTTGAAAAAAATCTGAATAAAAGAAGAAATGATTTCAGTTTTCAGTTTTAACATAGAACTACTTTTTAAAATTAATAATAAGAATTATAATGAGTGTTTGGGGCAGATACTTAAATCAGTAGAATGAAGGGGTGGAATTAGATATGGGTTTTCAGGCTGTGCTCTGCGGAGTCCTAAAGGCTCATGTGGACCTCAGGAGCTCTGGGAAATGCTTCAGTGTTGCACGATCAATGCCAAGTTTTTGGACCAATACATAAAATTAAGGCTGCCCAAGAAGCCTACATACCAGATTTAATGTTTTATTTCATTATATTAGCGATTCCTGTAGAAGTACACTTGAAAAAAATTGTTTTGCTCAGTAAATTACTAAGCTAGATCATTTTCTTTCTGCTTTCATACTGTATAAGTCTCTGACTTGTGGATCAAATTTATAGCTGATTGTGAAAAATCTACAACGAGGATGGAAAATAATTATATTGTTTTAATAGACGAACAGATAGATTATTCCCACACATAGGTGATCTCAAGCATACCTATACTAACTACATTTAACCCATGATCAATAGTCTGCAAGCTATTACATAGTTTTAAAGGAATCTAAACCCATAGTAGGCACTTAATAAGCTTTAGTGGAATTCATGAATAGTGAATGAATGAATGAGTGAATGAATGACACAGACTTAAAGGTCCTGGAAGGGAGGAGGCAAAGACCTCAGGGCCAAGGGTCAACTCAGCACAGCCAGATGTGTCTCTGGAAGCCAGGTCTCTGGACTGCTGAATGTTTTTTTCTTTTGTGAATATTTAAAAAGTGACCCATGTTAAAAAATGCCAAACTATTTCTACATTATTTTATTGTTTGAGCCCAGGACTTTACCGCCCATAACAATGTATTCCCATATACTTTTTGTTGGACATGCCTTAGTTTTGAAAGTCTTTGCCTATAGCAGATGTAACTTCTCACACATCTAGTTGCTCAAGCACTTATTTGACTCGTAGCTATTTAGAACTGGAAGGGACCACAGAGCTCATATGTAATTTGTCTTGTTTTAGTGATTCTTGGGCATAGGTGTGATTCCATGAAGACATTTTCAGTGACAACGTTAACTTCATAATCTAGAGAAGCAGCCATGTGGCTATGAGACTGCAGGCTTTCCAGGCAGACCTGGGAACATTCTGGTTCTAACAGTGACACTCGACATTATATTGGGCTCATAGTTAATTCCTCCGAGCCTCAGTTTCATCATCTGTAATGTAGGACTATTATTCGACTTGGTTGTTCCAAATATTAGGATTAAAACTGTAAAACATTTTGCTGTTTAATAAATAGTAGCATTTGTTTTTTCTTTCATGTGTTCCTGATAAAGGGTAACATTTGGGGTCCTCACCTTGGACCTTTTAACATTAGAGCTTAAGTTTGCTTCTTAAATATGTGTGCATTTATTATACGGAGATGTCCATCTGACATGAGAAAGACCTGAGAACGATATCTCTTAGTATGGTCACATTTCATAACTCTTTTCTTTCTTTTTAATAGAAACACATAGAAGAGAAAAAATCTGCCTATGTTGACAGAAGTCAATTTTTCCTGGATTTTAGTTTCCTGATATCTCGGCTTTATAGTGCTTTTACAATATTTGCAGCTATGTGTTTTGTTGTTTTCCCCGTGTGCTTCTTTCAGCCGCACATAGTGCAAACACACTGGGCTGATTCCTAATTAACTGACTGCACCCTGAGGTCTCCAGCTTCTGTCTTCAGTCTAATTACAGCTGTGAAGAAGAGTCCCTGAATTTCAAGAGTGTCTCTATGCGATAAAAAAAAAAATCATAACAATGTAGTTCTGGTTTGATCCTTAGATCATCTAGGGTGTGAATACTTAAGAGATGGTTAAATCAATATGCAAATGTGGGGTTTCCATTTTGATTTGTCTTGTTTTCCCTCATGCAAACGTTTGTACCTGATGGATTCAACTTCTTACTTAAATTTGATATCTAGTTCCTCAATTAGTTCTTTGATTCATAAAAACTTAGACTGGGAGGGACCTCATTCAACCGGACTGAACTCGACATTGGTTCTCTGCCTCTCGTTCTGAAACTGAAAATAGGCCAAAGATCTGTTGATGCTCAAGCCGTTATGAATCCCAAGACGGAATAGTGAAGAACTGCTAAACTCACCAGAGTGGCAAAGAGGTGATAGAGAATGAAATAGATGGCAACCACGGGTGCCCACATGTGTCCCACAGCATTTAGAGTTTGGTCCATCACGTCTACCCATCCTTCCTGGGTAAGGATCTGGAACATGGACATAAATGCCTACAGAGGAAAAGAATGGGAGGCATTAAACACCAGCTTCAGGCATGCAAGCAATTTGAAATTAGTATATGGTGTTTGGGACTGATCTCAGTATTATTTTAGTCTGACTGATCAGAGGATGAACAGCCCTAAGTCAACAAATTAAGGGCTGAGAACTGAAGATCCTAAAAGCCTAACATATAACTATTCAGTGTGGAAAATGAAAATAACTACCCTGAACTAATATTAGCCTTTTTGGTGATAGATACTGTTGAGCAAATTAGAAAAAAATTTGGGACCTTTGCTTATTTGACATTTCTATTTTTTCCCCGTATGTAAGCTACTTAATATTCCCAACAGATCACTGTATTTTTTTTTTTTGCTAAGTGCTACCTATTTTTATAGTGAATTACATTTCATTGTCTAAAGGCAATAATAACCTTAATTTTACTTTCATAGTCCCCGCCTATCCAATTATTTCAGTTATATTAAAAGCATGAGACTTGAAAAAAAATATGTATTTCTAGTTGATATTGCCATGCTGAGCAACCTAATAAAGACAAACACATTTTTCACGATTTTTAAAATTTATTTTCAAGGTACAGAGTGAAGACCACGGGGGCTGAAAGGAAACAGGATTCCAGCAAAATCCAGCCAAGCAAAAGGACTCACAGTCTCTCTGCAAAGATCTTTGGTTAGTTCCATTCTTATAACTTTTTCTTATTAAGTATATGACTATACATACTTCTCTGACCCAGTAGACATTAGTGGTCAATGCATGCTTCTTAATAAGAACCAATGATTTCTGAGGAAAGTTGATGATTGGGATGTAGGGATGCTTTAAAAATGTCTTTATTGGTTTTAGTGAAGATGTGAACTGAATTACCAGGTACTGGGATTCTAAGAAATGAAGCTCAGGAAGGTACAAAGACAGACAGAGCCCAAGGTAAAAACCCTTTTACACTGGTAGGCTCTTAGAGCTGAAATGGACCCTATAGATAATCTAATCTCTTTATACTTGCAGATAAGGAAAATGAGGCTTACAGATGACAGGCAATGAGCCCCAAGCTACTCTATTATTTGTGGTGCTGACAGAATGAGCACTCGGCCATCATGACTCTAAAGTAAGTATTTTTCCAAGTATTGCATCCTGAGTTCAGTGAGGTCTTGAACCTACTAATTCCCAGGCCTCATCACACAGCAAGCTCTTCCAGGAGTTTCCTTTACCGAGGATAATTAAATTAGCTTTTTTAGAAGTTCAACGCTCAACGCCCAGCACATAGTGGACCTGTTTGAACAAAGGAGCAATGGGTTGCTAAGCGCATCTTGAACTAGGAGATATGTTTTCCCAGTTACCCTTTGTCCATGTATGAAACACTTAACTTCTCCTGGATTTAATTTTTCTGTGATTTTATTACCCCACAGTGCTTTGTTCATGAAAGTACGAGGTATCTTGTTGTTGTTATTTGAACTCAGCATTGCCGAGGACAATATAATGCTTTTCTTGCCAGGGCACCTAAGAGAATATTTAGGTCTACCTCATCCTGAAACTGCTTCAGAGAATTTGCAACACATCCTTTAACCTTGTAAGTACGCCAGAACTTACCACTGAGGGCAGCTATTTTTTTTTCCTGCATTTTTCTTTTCCTGTTGAATACTTATAACATCCAAAGGCAAGGACACAAGTTCCAGAGATGATTCACATAAAAATATCAGATTGTGCATTTTCTTCAGTGGAGATGTTACTGGTGTGAAAGTGTGTGTATATCCTACAGACTCAAGAGCAACTGGGGGAGCATTAACACCCCTACCAGTATAAAAGGAATTTTACTGGACATGGATTTCTTTCCCCAAAAGTGTTAGTAAAGCTTGTGATTAAGTCCAACAGATTTATTCTTAGCACCTGAAGACCAAAAGTTCAGGAGCACCTTTCAGCTCTCTTGGGCACAAACCAACTTAATTTATTTTCAGCTACTGCATTAGTTTTCATGAATACTCAGCTATTATTCATTCGGTAAGTGCTTGGGAACAGGAGCTGTGGGATTGTAACCAGTTGCTGTGAGATAAGCAATGAGGGCAAGAACGCCTGGGTTATCCTCTACTCTTCTCAGAGCCCCCAAAGAGAAACCCCTCATTTCTGCATAGCTCAGCCACCTGAAAGTCCATACTGTGAGATGCTGTGAATTAGATTTGAGAACAAAACTTTCTGTTATAATGCAATTGGTGTGTTTATTGCTGCTTATGTGAATAAGCCAGTAATGGTAGGGCCATGAGATACTTCTATTACAGGCTGAAAATTAATTTGTGTCCTGCATGAAGGGTGTCTCATCAATTTTATTGAGATTTTGTTCAGAAATTGAATTGCCAATGATACTTCAATATGTGAATCGATATATGTCATCCACAGGATCTGTGCTCCCTGTAGAAACCATTTAGTTTATTTATTCAAACATGGATTATTAGTGGCTACCGAAGGTTTGATGTCTTGGAGACTGACATGAGGAAGACATAGTTTCATCTCTTAAGCAATTTATAATCAAGAGTAGAAGAAAAAGATGAACATGGTCAACTCCAAGAAAAAGAAGAATGAAAAACATAATGTAGAAGAGAAACATAGCGACGCTCTTAAGGAGCAGGTCAGAAGGACCAGTGTATTCCTCTTGGGTGAAGCAAGAACAGTTTGGGGGGAATGATGGCAGCTGGCTTTCAGGATGATGATGCACAGGATTTAAATGGCAGAGAAGTGGGTGAGAAAGGTCTAGAGGAAGTTGTTTCTTTCCTCCGAGCTATTGGTTCATGTTATGCCATTTTCCTATCCTCCTGACAGTTTATCCTTTCCTTACTGGTTTCCACCAGCTCTTTATAAATTAAGGAAACTAATCTGTCAGTCATATATGTTTCATTCATTTTTCCTTATCTATTTATGGTATTCTTGCAAACACGTATTTTATATTTCTATATGGTCTTATATACTACTCCTTTAAGGTATTTTTATTTTGCTTAAAAATACTTCTCTCACTGCAAGATTAGACATAAATGTACCCACACTTTAATGCAGCAGTTTTTGAATTTTATTATGTTTAACATGAACCAGAAATTGCTGTTTAAGTCTGGAATTTATTTCAGTATAAGGAATGAGACAGGCATTAATCTTATTTTTCAATAGGTGATCAGTAGATTCAGCCCAATATAACTGAAAAATCTCTTTTCTTCACTAATTTGAAATATCCCCTTTATCATGTATACATACTCATACACCTTCAGCTCTATTGCTAAACTTTCTAGTCTTCTCCATCAATGTATTTCATCTCCAAACTGCCTAGTAATTGTACATTTTAATAACTGGTAGGGTTACTAGCCCCTCCCCATAGCCTTTTGTTTTCTGACATTTTAAACCTATTTTCATATGCAGTTTTCCCAAGACCTCCTCTTGCTCTATACATTGAGGTCACATTAATAAATAACTATAAATTGCCTTTGGTGCTGCCAACTCATCAGAGTATTTACTGAATAAACGGTAAATTCCCTGTGTTAGCAAGTGCACTGACAACAGGGAGCAAAATAAAATAGGTGCTGTGCTCTGAGCCTTAACATACACTGAAATCTTAAAAGACAATGGAACGTTGACCAAATTTGGTTTTAGGGACTGTTCTAGAGAGCTTAGTTATTAATGCCTTTTAAAACATAAAGTTTTTGGAGCCACATATGCATCTTTTTACATATATGAACTCTTAGAGTTTCAGATCTGTTGAAATCAATCACCTTTGCTTTAATAGAAGTGAAACATTTAAAATATTTAACATCTCTGTAAAAT